GTGGCTCCAAGAGAGGGGCAGGCTTGGAGGGTTTTACTTTCTAGGTGTCTTATGAGAGTGTTATTGAACCACACATATTAAAACATAGCTCAGCTGGGTGTGGTAGCTCCTGCCGGTAATTCTAACACTTTGGGCAGCTGAGGTGGGCAGATTATTTGAGCCCAGGAATTTGAGAACACAGCAAAACCCTATCTCTATTTTTTAAAAACTTAAGAAAGGAAAGAAAATAAAACGTAGCCCTATCCCAAATCTCTGAAAGACTATTTATAATTTTGCCTTTTAAATGGCTTGGTGATCAGCAACTAATTTTACGTGCTTAGCAATGATTCCTTGGCAACCACTGCGTGCACTTAGAAATTCTTGTGACGTGCTCATTTTGGCAGAACATATACTAAAACCATAAATTCTTGTGAAAAAAGAAATTCTCATCTATATTATTCTCAATATTTTAACAATTATGCTGAAAAAAATGAAGATAGTGTTTCATTTTGTGGATATTTTTCTTGCTCTTTTCTTTGCATAATTTATAGCCAGCATTATTTTTCCTGGTTTCTTGCAGGCATTTCATAGGTCTTTCAAAGCTTATAGATCTTAGGCACGATGCCTTTCATTGTCTAATGGGTAAATAGCAGGGTGGTCAAAACAGAGCTTAGGGCCAAGAGGGGAGCATGTGGGAGGGCCCAGGAACCAAGTGCTTGCACACAGCACCTACAACAGCCTAAGGTTGGGTTGCCACAACTGAAGCCAGGTACCATTTCAAACACTAACATACTTCCTTGAAGATTACAAAGAACTTCAGGATGGTTCAACATCCCCAGATGTAGCAGGAAGCAGCAGCTGGCCTTACCTTTGGGGCATCATTTTTTCCCAAGATGGAGACCAGTTGCCCAGATGGCTCCCAGGGAGTCCGGCGGCAGCCCCAGCACTCTACCGCAGCCGTGGTAACAGGGTATTCGGGGACAGACATACGGCGGCACATATCTTTTAGCCAGGCTTGTTCATTATCTGTTGTCTTTAAGTTGGCCTCTGATTTCTCTATCCTTTGAAATATGTAATGTCCCAAATTGTGGCAGAAATAAATTAACAAATTAAGCAATCTGAGGATTTTTGGACACAGGCTCTTCAGAGGGCTGGGAATGAGGAGGAAACAGAATAAAGAATGTCCTGAGCCCTCAGAGGCACTTGAATATCTGAAATATCTAGGATGTTTTAAAACAGGTGCTGACCCCAGGCCTGTGCTCAGCCCAGGCCTGGGACAACCGGACAGCTTTCATTTGCTGGAGTAAAGCAGTGACATGGGTCAGCCTTCATTAGATGCCAACCACTGATAAAGTGTTCCACGCAAATGGCCTCTTAGATGTGGCCAAGAAAAGTACAAAAAGGCCCAGCTTGCCTACTGACAATCCCATTAACTTTCAGTCACTTCTAAAGAACAGGCCAGCACCATCTGAACATGGAAACCCAAGTGCAAGCTACTTCTTGTCCACTCTGGAGCCGGGTAAGGGACAATGGAGATCCTGGGTGGGCACAGGCCCTGCAGTGCTGCATTCCCACTCATTGCAGATTAAAACTGCTACCTGTACATCCCAGGTCTACAACACTACCAACTGGGAAGGTCAACGGAACCCCACATTCTATTCCACATACCCTGGAACAAAGGCCCAGTAAATCCACTTATCACTCTGATTCCCCCTCCCCCAGCCGACCTCCACCCTCACCTCAGGCACTGCTGAAACTTTGGAAATTCTGTTTCCCTGGTGCTCCAGTTTCCCCATCTACCTTTGATTTCATCAACTGCTTCCAGCCTCTTGTACGCCATCCTGCCTACTTCCTTTGCCTCCCTCTAGCACCTTCAACTCTTCTACTCAGTGGCCTTAAAACTAAGTGCCAGCATTGGTCTCACCTAGCAGCCTCCCAACACAAAGACCTAACAGGAAATGGCCACCTCATCGTCTTCTGCTGTTTGGTGTGAGGACAGGCACCATGGTACAACTTGAATTTTTGTTTTTGTAATTTGGGTCTGTGATTAGCTATCCTTTCCCATTTTTTGGAAATGATTTTTTAAAATAAAGAAAACCCAGAAGGGAGAGCATCAGGATAAATAGCTAATGCACCCTGGGCTTAATACCTAGGTGATGGGTTGATAGGTGCAGCAAACCACCATGGCACATGTTTACCTATGTAACAAACCTGCACATCCTGCACAGGTATCCCAGAACTTAAAATTAAATTGGAAAAAAAAACACACAAAAAATCCAGCCTGGACAACAAAGTGAGACACGATCTCTAAATAATATTTTTAATTAGCTGGGTACAGTGGCTCATGCCTACAGTCCCAGCTACTTGGGAGGCTGAGGCAGGAGGATCACTTGAGCACAGGAGTTTGAGGTTACAGTGAGCTAGGACTGCGCCACTGCACTCTAGCCTGGGTGAGACCCCAACTCAAAAAAGAAATTATTTTAAAAAAGAACAAAACCCCTGAGGCTTAGCTGCCCAGTGAGGCCAATGTGGAATTCAGCAGGTCCTCCTGTTGCTCTTTCCCAATCAATATGTCATGTTGCAATACACTGGCTTCCTCCCACCCCTTAGCAACTGTTTTGACCACTATGGTAAAATCATCATCATGGAGGCTGGCTGGAGTTTGCATGAAATGTAGTTAAAGGGTGTTGAAAGACAGAAGCAGGGCCTTGTAGATGACAAGGCAAAGAATGATTCTGCCATGACCCCCAACAAGTTCATCGGTTTATCTGCCTAAAAAACTCACAGTCCCATTGAACAACTGCTGCCGTTAACTCAGAATGGTCTATCTCTATCAGCAGAAAGGAACAAACAGACCAAGATAGAAAACCAAGCCCCAAAACACTGGAATCTCTCTCTTCAAGCTACCCCAGCAAGTAAGTGGACCGACCAGGAGCTAAGCTAGAAAAAAGGCAGAGACTAAAAGATTTGTCAGAGACTAAAGATTTGATCTAAGATGTCCCAGCAAACAGCAAAGGATGACTTCTGCCTGAAGGAATGGTACATTGCTTTTCTTGGGAATTTGAGAAGGGGCTGGGAGTGAGCTATTTAAATAAATATTAAATTGGTCCTCTTTTTGGCAATACCATCACCACTCCTGCCAGATGTTCCAACTCCAGAAGCTGCTTTGCCAGATGCGGGGCTGGAACCACACCCGACGTTTCCAGGTTTGCAGCGGACAGTAGCACACATCTCCTCTACTGCTTATAGTGATTTGCCTGGCCTCTATGTGCCACCCTACATTGACCAACAGCACCATTTCCAGAGCTTGTACAAGGAACAGCAGGTATGTGGTATTCCAAAAGCAATGTGGCCCCTTAGTTCAGGATTTGAGCTCTATATGGGCAGATGTGAGTTCAAATGTCAGCGGCACTAGGTAGGACTGCAGTATGTGTGGCAGGCAAAATCCTGGGATGGTAATCCACGATTCCGAGCCCCTGGTTTTTTAAACACAAATCTAGTATTGCTGTTGTCAGTTGACCTTAAGATAGGGAGATAATCCAGGTAGGACTATTGTGCTATGAGTCTTTTTTTTTTTTTTCTGTTTGTTTTTTGAGACGGAGTCTCGTACTGTCGCCCAGGCTGGAGTGCAGTGGCGCGATCTCAGCTCACTGCAAGCTCCGCCTCCCAGGTTTACGTCATTCTCCTGCCTCAGCCTCCCGAGTAGCTGGGACTACAGGCGCCCACCACCTCGCCCGGCTAGTTTTTTGCATTTTTTAGTAGAGACGGGGTTTCACCGTGTTAGCTAGGATGGTCTCGATCTTCTGACCTCGTGATCCGCCCGTCTCAGCCTCCCAAAGTGCTGGGATTACAGGCTTGAGCCACCGTGCCCGGCCGCTATGAGTCATTTTTAAGCAATGTTTTCTCTAGCTGGTATCACAAAAGGAAGGTGAATTCAAAGTACCAGGATTCCATGCATCCTTGCCAGCTTGAAGGTAGGGGAGACCAAGTGAACAGAAATATGGGCAGTGGCTGTCTATATGCTAAGAGTTGCCCACAGCTCACAGCCAGCAAGAAAAATCGGAAGAAAACAGGTGACTTCAGTCCTACAACCCTGAATTCTGCTAACAACCTGAATGGAAGCACATTCTTTCCCAGAGCCTTCAGATGAGAGCTGAGCCCAGCCCAGGTGACAGACACCCTGATATCAGCCTTATGAGACTCTAAGCAGAGAATCCACCTGCCTGGATATCTGACCTTTAGAATTGTGAAATGATAAAGAGGTATTGTTTTAAGCTACTAAGTTTGTGAGCACTTGTTATATACCAAGAGCACATAAACAATACAGTATGTAAAGCTCTCAGTACAATGTTATAGTCCAGAATGTCCTGGCCTTCCTCAAGGTTAACTCTCTACCTCCACATCCTCCCACACACCTAGATATCAAAGCAGTCTTTCTCTAGCCCCTTTTCACTTAAAAAGAAAAAGGTACTGTGAGGGAGTGATGAGGCAAAGTTCGCCCCCGGGGGGAGGACACCATTTGGAATTCTAGTAGAAAGAAGTACATATTTCCCCTTCTACAAACTTTAAGCCTATGCACATATCAAATGTGGACTCTATTAGTTGGCAGGGGAAATCTGCCATGGATCCTGGGTATTCCTGCATATTCTTGTTGGGCAGGCTTTTACCTGAGTTCTTTCTCAAAACTGTGTTTGCAGGAGGCAGTCTTAAGGGATGAAGTAATGTCTGCATGTGAAACAACAGACTTGCCATGAAAGAGGTGGAGTCCCCAAACATACAAGTTCTTTGGCTATGATGCAAACTTGTAACATGCATAGCATCTACCTGGGCCCCTCCATGTCCACTGTGAGACCTGGGGAGCAGGGGAAACCAATGTAGACATGAAGCTCATGCTGTGCTGAGTAACAAAGTTCTTTATCTCTGACCCAGGATCCTCATGTCTTTTGGGAGCATCAACAAAAAAGTAATAATCTAACTTATTAGCTTGAAAGGGTAAAATCCCTGACTCTATTACACTTAGATCCTTAAATGAGGAGATTTAATGTCTTTACATTATACATTTCAAAGGAACGAAACACCCTTTAAGAATTTTCTCATGGAGATAGCATTTACATCACAGAGCTATTGTGAAAATAAAACAGGAATGTATAGCACACCTGGAATATAAAAAACATCCCAATAACTTTACTTGGACCCCTGCAGTCACCCATCCCTCATATATACATCCAATTAACCAGATGAAGATCAGTGTCTGTGTCCATGACAGCAATCCACTCAGAAGACAAAAGATAAATAGTCTAATATACCAATTTCTGACATTTGCATAGCACTGCAGGACTCATGAAGAGCTGCCACTCATATTATCTCATTTAATCCCTACAATAAAAACTGAGGCTCAAGGAGATAAGTCCTTGCAGAAAGAACAGTAACAGACTCCACAAGTTTGGAAAACAGCCATATGACAGAGGGCCAAGGAAGCCTATGACAGTAGGCTGAGGAAGCACAGCTGAACTGCAGCTATGAGACTGTTCTAGCAGCATGACTGTGGCCTGAAGGCACATTCTTCCTCCAGGTAAGGCAAGGGAGCTCTCACGGTGACTGGGCCTCCTGGGCAATGGCAACGCCACTGGAGAAACAGCTGGAAACCACATGCTACAGAGATGTCTTTTATTTGTATATTGATATTTCTTCACAGAAAATTAAGCATGTGGCTATCCTGTCCTGGATTAATCCATTTGGACTTGGTCCCATTGGTGTCCATGGCAGCGTCTGCTTTGTCTGGAGGCATTGGGGCCTTATCTTGTGATGGTTATCACTTGAGGGTCTTGCTAAGGTTGGAGAAACCAATGCCAACACAGGTCATCAGCACTTTATCCCCGCCCTTGAGTTCTTCACCACATGGCTTAGTTTCAATTTTAAACATAATCTGGAAAAAGCTCTTCAAATGCCGCAAAAATTCTATCCTAAAAAGGAAATAAATAAATAAATAAATAAAAAGCAATTCATTAAAAAAAAAATTATCCTCTACCATCTAGAATCCAAGGTTTTAATTTGCCAGACCTAGAGAGCTGAAGTTAAGAACTTCTCATCAAATCTGATTAAATAGTACTTCTTTTCAGCCAGCCAGTTTCCAAAGAAGATTGAGATAGTCTGCAGAGACACACACAATACAGCAAGATAAATTAAACCGGGGAGGGGGGAAAGGTTAGAAGTTAGCACATGACACATAAGTCATTTAGTTCAGACCTAGCAGAAAATGGACATAAATATGGTGATGACTTTTTCTTTTTTTTTTAAAGAGACGAGGTCTCACTATGTTGCCCAAGCTGGCCTCAAACTCCTGGACTCAAGCAATCCTCCACCTCAGCCTCCTGAGTACCTGGGACTACAGGTGTGCCACCATACCTGGCTTAGGCAATGATTTTTGAGTGGCCTGTACAAAGACAGAAACACCTATTTCCATGATTCACAGCACCATGACATACAAAACAAGCACAATGACTACTGATGCTGAAATAGACAAGTCTCTATTATTCTCTAATAATACCTTTGCGTTTACTTAATATTTATCAAGTGCATACTGTATGCTAGGCACTGTTGTTGGTGCTTGGAATATTGCACTCAAATGAAAAAAATTAAAAATAAAAATCCTTCCCTCATGAGGATTTCAATCTAGTGGTGTAGATAGAGACAAGATAAATGAATTAATTATTCCTGAAAAGTGCTATGTAATGTAAACAAAGCAAACAACACAGATGGGAAAGAACTGTGGGTATGACAGTATTTGTACAAATTTGGCAGAAAGCAATATTAAATAAGGTGGCGGGGGAAGTGTGCACAGTAAACACGACAAGGACAATGGCATCATCACAGGGTGATGGCGTCACTTCAAGAGTACCTTGGGAAGAGCAATTCTGTGGATGAACCGCAGTGCAGGTACATAGGCTTCTAATGGTCTTGCCTGGCAGACCTAGCATCACCTCAGCTAGCCTGATCATAAGACACACCTGAACAGTTCATTAAATACACAGGTTCCTCAAGGTTCTGGTGAATTTGCAACTGGTACGAAGTGTCCATATCCATATGGAAGAACCCAGAATCATAGGCCACACACAAAGCTGATCCCTTCCTACCCTCCACCAGACCCTGTGCTCCCCAGTTCATAGAGGCCAGAAATCTATTGTTAACAAGAATCCCTGGCAATTCTCATTGGGCAAGGTTAGGGAACACTGGCTTAGTGAAGAATGATGGTTTGCACACCTATAGTGAAGTATTACAAAAACCTTGCACTGTACTGTCTCCCAGTCAAACCAGCCAAACTCCCCACTCTGGCCAGATGGTTCTCAATCTCAACTGCACATGGAATCATCTATGGAGTTTTAAAAACACTGATGCTAAACACATAGATCAATGGAAAAGAGAGTCAAGAAATAAACCACACAGTTATGGTTAATTTCCTCAATGAGGAAAGCATAATCATTTCAACAAAGATGCTGGAACAACTGGATATCCACAGGTGAAAGAATGAAGTTGGGCCCCTTACATCACACAGAAAACTTAACCCAAAAGAGATCAAAGTCGTAGCTGTAAGAGCTAAAACTATAAAGTTCGCCAAAAAAAAAAAAAAAAATACAGGAGTATTCATTACCTTGGGCTAGGCAATAGTTTCTTAACCATTTCTTAAATACAACACCAAAAGGATGGCAATAAGAGACAAAATAAATAAACTGGACTTCATCAAAAAATACTTTGTGCATCAAACGCACCATCAAGAAAATAAAAAGACAACCTACAGGATTGGAGAAAAGATCTGCAAGTCATATTTCTGATAAAAGTCAGGCATCTCGACTATATAAACAACTCTTACAACTCAATAATAAAAAGACAAATAACCTAATTAAACGATGGAAGAGTACAGGCGTGGTACCTCATACCTGTAATCCCAACACTTTGGGAGGCCAAGGCACGCAAATTGCTTGGGGCCTGGAATTCAAGACCAGTCTATTACGACCCCCATCTCTACAAGAAATTGTTTTAAAATTAGCCAGGCATGATGGCAGGAGCCTGTAGTCCTAGCTACTCAAGCTATGACTGCACCACTGCACTCCTGCCTGGGCAACAGAGTGAGACTCACTAAAAAAAAAAAGAAAAAAGAAAAATAGATGAGAGAGCTAAATGGACATTTCCTCACAAAGATCCAATAAGTACATGAAAAGATGCTCAACATCATTGGTTATTAAGGAAATGAAAATCAAAACCACTATGAAATATCACTTCATATCCAATAGGATGGCCATAATAAAAAAGACATACAATAACAAAAGTGTGGGTGAGAAGGCAGAACCACCAGCACCCTCATACACTGCTGGTAGGAATGTAAAATGGTACAGCCACTGTGGAAAACAATCTGGCAGTTCCTCAAAATGTTAACCAGGGAGTTACCATAGGATACGGTAATTCTACTCTTAGGAATATATAGAAGAGAAATGAAAACATACACTCACACAAAAACTTGCATACAAATGTTCATAATGGCATTATTCACAAGAGTCAAAACGCAGAAGCAACCCAAATGTCTATCAACTGATGAATGCATAAAGTGTGGTATATCCATTCAATGGAAGATTTTTTTTTCTGTCATAAAAAAGGAATCAAGTACTGATACATGCTACATCGATGAACCCTGAAAACATATGCTAAGTGAAAGAATCCAGTCACAAAGGACCATATAGTGTATGATTCTATCTACAGAATATGAAAAAGCCACAACAGGCAAATCTATCAGAGGCAGAAAGGAGATTTGTGGTTGCCTGGGGCTGGGGAGAGGGGGAAGAATGGGAGAGACTGCGAGTCGGCACAGGGTTTCTTTCTGGAGGTAGTAAAAATGTTCTAAAATTAGATTGTGACTGTGGTTACACAAGTCTTTAAACTGTGTAAAATGGGTAAATTGTGTCGTATGTGAATTGTATCTCAATAAAGCTTTTTAAAGTAAAGAAATCAATACATATTTGCCATGTTATAAAACAACTGATCCTGGTTCTCACCTCTACTTGGTGTATACCAAACTACATATAAAGCCTGAATTGATGAATTTCCCTCCCATCCCCATCCCTCTGTGCTAAGAGCACTGATCTAGTCAAAGGAAGGAAACAGTTATATGGAGAAAAGGGGGCCTGAACAATTCCTGACCCTGTGACTGAAGTGACCAGTGCATCAGGGGCTAAGAGATGAAACATTAACAACCCCAGAGAGCAGGAGTTCTGGTCAGTGCTGGATGCTCACAGAAAAAATCTCCCAATTCCTTGCTTTCCTTCCACCTAGGAATGTGCAAGTTTATCTCGACCTTTAAAATAACATCACATTTGTCAACTTTTCTATGAAGCCTTTCCTAGCCCATAAAGCCCACCCCAAACGATCTTTCCCACCCCTCCAGGTTTCCATAGCATTCTCTGCTCATGGTGTCTAATTAAATGCTTATGTACAACTGTCCCCTTCCTCCTCATTAAATTATTTAAGCACCTCAAGGGCAACGCTCTTCTCCATCACTGAACCTGTTATTCAAACAAGGCACTGTATAAGGTTCTCAGTAAAGAGGCACTGGATAGAATTTAGGAGTTGGGGTAATTTTGGGAAACAACTTTCAATATTCTTGGCAATTAAGGGAAGTCAGCTTTCCCTGCTGGCTTTCCTGTCTTACTAACCAATTAAACTTTTGTTGTCGTTGTTGCTTTCTATCCATCCCACCATCTCCCCCATTCTGTCCTACGGAAAAAAGAAAACACATCGAACCATAGATAAACAGTCCACATCTGTGGGCAAAGCTTCCAGCTGGCGGCAAGCCGGAAAAAGCCAGCCATCTCACCCACTCATCTGCATCTGAAGGAGAAAACAAATTGGTCTCTCCTTTGCTGCTGCCTCAAACTAATACAGGCCTGGGGCATGCTCTGCTCCCAGGATCTCACCCAGCCTACTTCACTCTGAATCACTCAACTGTGCTTGAAAAACCAGACACCTTCCCCAGCTGGCAGAATTTCTACGGGGCCTCAGCTTGCTTCTGATCCCTTGGAGAAGGATGGGAGGAACACAGGCTCAAGTGTGCAGGCTTGTGTATTTGCAAGTTTGGGGTATTTGTAGCCTTTGGAACAGTTAGAAAAAGCAAAGTTAGTTCCACTTTTTACATAATGTTCTGCCAACCCCTCAGCCTGTCCAAGGAAGACTGTGTAAGAGACTGGATTAAGGTACATTTCAGAATCTTTCCCCTACCTCTAGCCCCATTCTCCCTATGTCTCTGGTAGCTGGGATATTGAAGACCAAAAATGCTCAGAACCTGAAAATTCACCATAGACAATATTAAATCCCAGCAAACAGCCTCCTTAAGAAAATGAAAAGCAAATGAAGAGTAAGCTCGCCCTGTATCTACACGCACTAACAAAGTCTCGTCCAGTGCTGATCCACATTCTTCTCCACAGCCCAACAGCTAGCTCTCCACAGCTGCGGCTGCACTGAGGCACCGCCTTTGGAGTTCACATTTCCCTGCCCCTCTCTTCCACAGCACTATACTGGAGATTCACACTTCCTAGATAGAACCACAGAGCCACACAGCCAGGGCAGAGAGAGACCCACCGCTCACTGAGAGCAGCTCTGCCGCTCAATGAGCAACCACCCACAGAGTGCAAATAGTAGCTTTTCAGAAGAACCATTCTGGGCAGCAGGGGCTCTATGCAACTCCTGTGTAAAGGATTTTAACACCTGACATGTGATTATCTGCAGTAAGGCTTTTTCCCCCCCTCCGCCAGGACAAAATGATTTTCAGAAAACAAAAAGCAACTGACTTTTCTACGAAAGCCTCTAGTCTATCTGACAATTAGGTTTCAGAGAATTCTGGAGCACAGAGATAACTTTTCCTATGTATTTTATTTTATTTTTATTTTTAATTTTGTTTTGAGATGGAGTCTTGCTTTGTCGCCCAGGCTGGGTTGCAATGGTGCGATCTCAGCTCACTGCAACCTCCGCCTCCCAGGTTCCAGCGATTCTCCTGCCTCAGCCTCCCAAGTAGCTGGGATTACAGGCATGCGCCACCACGCCCCAGCTAATTTTATATTTTTAGTAGAGACGGGGTTTCACCATGTTGACCAGGCTGGTCTTGAACTCCTAACCTCATGATCTGCCCACCTTGGCTTCCCAAAGTGCTGGGACTACAGGTGTGAGCCACCGCGCCCAGCCTTCCTATGTATTTTCAAAAGGTGAGTTGTTCCCACTGCCACTGCTGGTCAACAGGAAAGGCCATGAGGCTCATGGTCATAGGTCCATTGAATCCCAAGTGACCAGGATTTGACAGGCTGCCAGATCCCACCCTTAAACACAGCCCCTCCCACCAGACCCCTCTTTTGAAGCATGTGAGAGAATGGGGTGAGGGCAATCATGGGGTAAGCTCTCTCTCCGGCAGCTCCCACAGGCACAAACCACAGCAGAGGGTCCTGCATCCTGCTCCATCAAGCCACCTGGTTTCTATGCCACTGGATATGGGACAGAGCTGGGGGTACCTACATCTCAGGTGTAAAGAGATGCTCTGCAAGTTGAGAGGAAAGATCTGGAGATAAGAAAAGGATCTGCTGGATGGAGTCCCTATAGTCACTACATGGCAGCTTTTAAATATACTGCTGATGCTTGTTCTGCGGAATAGTGGCTTTTCCAAAGACCAGCTGACCTCTGCTCCAAAAATGAAGTGACTACATTGTTACTGGGGCAGCAGGAAACAGAGAATCAGGCTAGCTGCACTGTCAGGAGATGGGGTCCCAGGCCCAGTTCAGACAGGATCTCACCATGAGCAGGTCACTGACCTCTTTTTTATCTGAGAAGGAAGCCTATCACTTGCTTTTACCATACACCAAATATGTTCTGCGGCTCAAACATCAGGTGACGGGGCTTTACAGTATTTAAATGCTTCACAAACCTAAGACACAGTGGTACTGTGCAAGCTCACGGAACGCAGTGAGGTCACTGACCCCAAGGAGTGGCAGGCTTGGCTGGCAGTTCCCAGTTTCCCCACTGGTTTCCTCATTGGTTCTTCAGAGGGCTGTGCTTTAGACTGAGTGGGCCAGGAAGCCCCAGTCAGTTTGTGTTTAACAAGGACAGTGTCTTCTAGCTCCTTAGCACTTCCACAGTCATGGAAAAAGGTCATTAATTAAAGTCAGAAAAAAAAAAAGTCATGGTTTATTTTAGATTTCCAACTAAAGATAGAAAGAGATCATTTTACAGCAGAATTTGAAACGAGGACTTTGCTGAAAAGATGTAGCATGGCATCCTGCCTCAGGCAAGGTGCTTTGAGTCCAGCGATATGGATGGAATCCCAGCTCTTACATAAAAGCACAGTGGGTAAGGGAAGCAGTGACTGGAGGAGACTGTCCAGGTCTGAACCCCACTTACTGTCTGTGTGATGTAACTTGGCATGTAACTTGACCTCTCTGTGGGCATGTAACTTGGGCATGTAACTTGACCTCTCTGTTTCTCAATCCCATCACCTGTAAGATGGTGCACATGATAGTACTTGCCTTTTTTGCCCTTATAAAGTTATGATGAAAACCAAATAAGCTAATATGTGTGAGCACTTAAAACAACATCTTGGCCGGGCGCGGTGGCTCAAGCCTGTAATCCCAGCACTTTGGGAGGCCGAGACGGGCGGATCACGAGGTCAGAAGATCGAGACCATCCTGGCTAACACGGTGAAACCCCGTCTCTACTAAAACTACAAAAAAAAAAAAACAACAACAACAACATCTTACACACAGTAAACATGGTGTTTTTTAAATAAACATCTACCTTAGAGAATTCTTAGGATCAATAAGATGTGTGTAGTTTGCTCAGTAATGTGACTAGGGAAAGTCAGTCATAAAAATAACAACTAGAAATTAAAAATTTTTAATCCATAATTTAAAATTAATGGATATAGATTTATAGGTAGCTAGGCAGACCCCTTACAGATGA